CGGGGTGGGAAGGGGGTCCCCATGGTTACCCCGAGACGCTCGGGCTGTGCCTCCCGGGGCCAGATGGCCACGAAGGCGGCTTTCCAGGCCGACTTCCTCTGCCTAAACGCCTGCTTCCCGGCATAGCCCATTCGGCTTCCACGCCGAAGTCACCGCGTGGGGCGCCCCCAGCTTCCGGATCGTCTCCCTCTGTAACACCTCCCGGGACCCTTCCTGGGCCCCGCCGGCCCTCCGCCCGCGCATCACAGGCCCCGCGCCCCCTCCGGCCGCCCACTCACTGCAAAGACGGCGGCAGCGGGACGCAGCGACCAGACAGCTAACTCCGCGCGGCTCTCACGGCGGCGGAATCGAGCCTCCGATTGGCTGGCCGTGCAATGGCCCCCCCCTGGCTTCAGCCAATCAGCGTGACCCTCGGCTTCCTTCTCCGCCGCACCCGGAAGGGCCCGTGCCGGCCTGGGCTCCGCGGCGCGGAAAGGTCACGTAGGAGCGGCTGCAAGGGCAGCTCAGCCCCGGGCAGCAGCTGGCAGCGCGGAGCCCACCCAGGCTCACGGGACAGCGTGTCACGCTGCTTCCGCGGCCGGGTTGAATGAGCCCGGTCAGTGTGGCTATGCAGAAACGTCTTGTGCGAGATTGTCACTTAAATATAGAACCCGTAGTTGGAAGCACTTCTAAGGGACTTGCCTACCTGTACGTTTAACGTTTTTTACACATGAATCTCGACACCGACCAGCGGCATCACTGTGGGGTCGTGGGAAAGCGGGGGGAGTACGGCCCTTGCCAGGTGACATTGACACTGAAGTGACTGCCTGTAAAACTGCACGGCGGCGTTTCAGCAGCACTGGCGTCACTAGGCTGGCAGCACTCACTCCCTAGCTCTGGTGTCACATCCCCCAGGAACCTCCTCTCGCGCCAGACCTTGTAGAACCATTGGCTCACTCGAACTCAGGGCCGTGAAGTCGATTTTGATGGACTGACCCTCTGGGATAGGGTAGACCTGCCCCGGTGGATTTATAGGAGTAAAGCATCGACTTGTTCTTGGGGAGCAGCTCGCGGTTTTGAACTAATGACCTTGCAGTTAGGACCCCATCTCACAACCACTGCTTTACTAGGGCTCCGAGTAAAGCTTATTATCATTTAAATCGGAATAATATGTGATAAATATGTTGTAAATTACTTAAATGTAAGGGCGTGCAACAGAACAGCAAGGAGAACAGAGCAACAAAGTGCCCAGGGAATACCAAAAATGGACTTTGGGGGCCAGGGCTTGGCACCCCATCAGACTCGACCGGAAAACACTCCTAAAGGCCAACAAACAGTCTTTGAACTAACTACAAGCTTTTCTTTTTTGTTGTTGTGTTGTGTTTTTGTTTTGTTTTGGTCATTGGCTTTTTGTTGTTATTGTTTTGTTTTCTTTTGTTGCTTGGTTTTGCTCTGTCTTCTTTTTGTGCATGTTATTATCTCC